AACAGCTTGACTCAGCAGCGTCTCCGGAATATCAATGGGGACTCAGGGACACAGCGGGGAGATGAGGCCTCAGAAGGTCCCGCTGTGCATGGGACAGGACGTCCTTCAAGAAGCAGGTCTGAGCCCCCATGCTCCTTCCTGCCACATCCAGAGAGGCCACCTTGTCCCCACTCCAGCAGCACAGGCCTGGATGTGCCCAGGGCTGCTGGAATCGCCCACCCAAGAGGACCAGAGCCAAACTCCCTGGGTGACACCATGGAGAGGTCCCTGCCAGGAACGCCTGCCACAGTCCTTCCTGCCATATGCACCAGAGGTGGGGAGACCATCTGCTGGATTCAAATTCCACTCCTGGTACTTTCCAGCTGTGTGGTCTCAGGAGAGTTACTCAACCTCTCTGAGCTTCAGTTTTGCAATCTGTATAATGAAGTTGCCTTGAGAGCTAAATGAATTAACATGTATGAAACACACAAAACAGAATCTGGTCCACGGGAGGGCTCCATAAATGTTACCTCCTAGTATCATCCATTCATCCATTCTCCCATCACCCACACAGGAACACTTCCGTGTGACCCGAGGCAGGCCCCTTAACTTCCCTGAGCCGTGCTTTTTATGATCTGTGAAATGGAGGACAAGTTCAGGTAAACTGAGGCTCACCTGGGCCCCATGGATACGGAAAGGCTGTGGGGATATAAAAGTTTATGCTCCAGACCCCAGCCCTGAGAGCGCCCAGGACCACCGTGGGAGGCACCGAGGGCAGGGCCACGTCTGCGCCTCTCCCTCTGAGGTGACTCACCACACTATCTCCGGAGCCCAGGCGGGGCCTGCTCTGCATGCCTAATCCAGCCCGGCTCTGTGCCTCCCCTTCCATCGGGCAGCCTCGGCCTAGCGTGGGGAGGGAGTCCTGGCTGCAGCCACACATACGCGCACAGATGGGGTGATGCACCAGGCACCTCACACGAGCACACACATGCACACGGGCCTGTCCACGGACACCCCTACTGAGGCAGGCCTGACACTTACACATCCAGAAAGCCACATGCGTGCACCCCTCCCCATACGAACACACGCGTCCTGCCCTGGCATCTTTGGGACTCACCTTGATGCCACCACCTCACCACCAGGCCAGCTGTCCTGTAGGAACCAGGCTGGCCTGGGCTCCTGTGGTCTGGTCCCTAGGGCTGTCCCTGGACACAGCCCTCAGCCTCGGTCAGGGCACAGCAGGGCCCCCTCAGGCCTTCCAGGCCAGGCACCGGGGGGGGGGCCAGGCAGTCGGATCCCCGATAACAACCGTCCCATGTGCATTCCTGAGTCCCTCATCCAGGGGCCAGCAGCGCATTTCACTCTAACAACCAGTCTTTAGCTCATTTCACAGATGAGGAACCAGGAGAGGCTGAGTGACTTGCCCAGGATCACACAGCCAGGAAGTGGCCAAGCCAGGGCCCAGGTCTGTCGGCCAGAACCTGCCCATTAACCACGTGCTGCTGCCCGTGTGATGCAAGCCGGTGGAGACAGAGGCGTGGGGCGGAAGGGCCTGGGTCTGACAACCCGGCTCCAAGTCCTGCTCCAACACCTCGCTGTGTGAGCCTGGGCGAGCCACCTCACCCCTCTGAGCCTCAGTTCCCCCATCTGTAAAATGGGGACAAAAGCACCAAGCCCACAGGGTTGTCACCAGGATTCATGACAGTGCAGGCTTAGAGGGTACCCGGCATGGGGTAGGGCTCGGTCAAGGGCCACAGGACTGCCCAGGGCCTAAGACACACGACTGAGTAAAGGGGGTGAGGGGGTCGGCACTGATGGGGGCTGGGACATTTGGTGCCAGGGCTTCCTCTAAGCCCTATGCCAATGGTCAGTGCTGGGAACTACCCGGGAGCTTCCCACCTGGAGGACAGAGCTGGGTTCCAGTCCCGGCTCCTCAACATTCCGGCTGTGTGGCCTTGGGAAAGTGGCCTACCTTCTCTGGCCTCAGTTTCCTCCTCTATAAAATGGGTATAATTATGTCCCCTGCAGGACCCCGAGCCCGGCACACAGTAGGCACCCAGGACTTGCTGGACAAGCTCTGCCAGGGCTCTGCGGTGCCTCCTCAGCCTGGCGAGCGCACCCTCCCCTCGGCCCCGCTCCCCGGCGCTCCTGTGAGCCACTCACAGATGATTCATACTTCAGAGGCCGAATCAATACAATATACGGCCAAAGACATCTTTAATCTTTCGCAGGGATTAGGCTACAAGGTACAGCGGCCTCTTTCTACCAGTCGCTCAATTCTGATTTCAATTTGGCAGCTGGAGCGCGGCTTTCTCTCTCCTCTGCCTTTCACCCTCCTAAAGACGGTCCTCCAAATCACGGTTCAGTGAGCAGGTGGGGCCGAGAGACCCAGCTGCCCGTCCTCAAGGGCCCCCGGGGCTGCCACCCTGCATGGGGGGACAGCAGGAGGGTCTGGGGATGTGGGAGGTCCGGCTGGTGGGAGGCCAGCCCTCAGCAGGGGGCGGGAGGCAGGGGCACGGAGAGGGGCCCCTGTGCCAGGGCAGGAGCGCCCCACCTGGAGGCCCTGGCAGAGTAGCTTTTCTCTTATTTCTCTTTTAAACAACATTGAGTAGACTTTATTTTTTCTAACTACCCAATGCCTGATTAGATGCTTTGTGGAAAATTCAAACAAAGAGTCTCAGCTTCAGCCCCACTGCAAGGCCCAGACCTCACCCCAATCCTGTGCTCTCCCGCTCCTAACACGTCAGCATATGTCCCTCCAGGCCGTGTGTGTGTGTGTGTGTGTGCGTGTGTGTGTCAGTCATACCCCCATCCCTTGCACAGGGCTGGGCCATGTGGGTCTCAGTTAATGGGTGGGAAACAGGGGCAGAAGACAGAGTGACAAGAACACAGAAGCACGTAAGACCTCTAGTCCAGGAGCCAGATGCCTGGCTTCAAACCCCTTCTCCACCTCTAACTTGCGGTGTGACCGGGTGCCAGTTACTATTCGGCCTCTCTGTGCCTCAGCTTCCTCCCCTGTAAGATGGGGGCACCTCCCTCCTAGGGTAGGGACGATCACCCAGGTCGACGGGGGTAAAACAGGCGCTCAGGGTGTGCTGGGCACACAGGGAGGCTGGCTTAGTATGGAGATGGCTTCCCGGTCCCTCACGGCAGGGACTGAGCACAACTGAACACTAAGATTCTGGGCCTTCTGTCCCTGCCCCTATCAGGCACCTTTGTCCCCAAATCCTGCAGAGGTTGCACTTTTTTTTCCCCAAAGATTGGCCCTGAACTAACATCTGTTGCCAACTTTTTTTTTCCTTTCTCCCCAAAGCCCCAGTACATAGTTGTATATTTTAGTTGTAGGTCCTTCTAGTTGTGGCATGTGGGATGCTGCCTCAGCATGGCCTGATGAGTGGTGCCGCATCCACGCCAAGGATCTGAACCAGCGTTTTGAAACCCTGGGCCGCTGAGGCAGAGTACGCAAACTTAACCACTTGGCCATTGGGCCGGCCCCCAGAGGTCGCATCTTAAACAGAAAGGCAGTGGGCTTGTTTGGGGAAGGATTCAGGCCACAGGGAGGAGAGGAAGTGCCAGAGCAGGGTGGGTGGGGCCGGCCCAGAGAGAGGTGCCTGCTTCTGAGCAAAGGAGGAAAGAAGAGGTGGGCAGCCAGAGGGAGGGGCTGGCATGGGGAGGGCGTCTGACACTGCCACAGGGGGCCCTAGGGAGCTGCCGCCCACCTGCCCGGAGGTGGGAGGGGGTCCCGTCCACCCCCTGCTTCCCTCTGCCGGGGGCCCAGCTGCTGGAGTGGGGAGTGGCCCAGAGCGGCAGCCATCAGCCAGCACTGCCCCACTTCCAGGCCTTGCTCCCTCTCCACCAGGTCACAGGCACCGAGCTGCCTCAGCTGTACAATTAAAGGGGCTTATCTGAGATTTATAGCAGGATTATGCCCGCAGGGTGTTGCCAGCGCCAGCCTCTGGACACTCTGTGTTCCTTAGGAAAAGCAATTAAGAGTCCCGGGGTTATACGGGTATAAATATATAGACGCCATCCCCCAAGGTTGAGGGCACCACAGTGAGCTATTTAGAGACAGGGCCTTAGGAGGTGGGCACCGGGGGCCCCCCTCTGCAGGGAGCTGGGTCTGCCAGGAGGGGGCAGGGTCTCCTTGCTCCCCCCACACCCCATGCATGACAGGCGCCATCCCTCAGCCCCACGGCCCGCACTGAGCCATCCCTCTTGGCAAAGCTCGCCCAACCCAGGTGGATTCCCCCGACCCAGGGGCCAACCTGCTGCCCGGACGCCCCCGGTACCAGGTACCACAGCCCCTTCCTCAGCACGGCCATCAGTCTGATGCCCTCAGAGGCCCAGGCTTCGGGCCCGCCGAGCTCTGAACCCTTGTCACGTTAGCCTCCTTGCTTGCTCATAACTAAAAGCTTTACGACCCGGAGCTTCTAAGGACCGCAGTTAAGGGAATACAGTGAGCTTAATGCGGGAAAGGAGGCACGTGGTGAGTGGGGGACCTCGAGGAGAGCACATCACTTTCCAACACTTCCTCAGATCCACCCCGGGGGGCACCTACGTCACTGAAGCCACAGCCAGCACAGCCCTGCCCCTCACCCCCAGCAGACTGCTCCCTTCAAGGGACTCAAACAACCCTTGCTCCAAGAACCTGCCGGCTGGCCCCCTGGGTCCCTGAGACCCCCTGAAACAAGGCCACCTCCATCCCAACCCTGTTCCCTCCTCTCTGCCTGAGAACAAGCAGCTGTTCCACTGGCTCCCGTGCCAGGGACATTGATGGTCCCTCTGTCCGCCTGGCCACGTGTGCAAAAGTTATTCATACCCACCCCCTGGCCCAGGAGTCACGTCACCACCCGCTGAGGCCACAGGCCAGTCCCCAGCGCTCAAGGGAGAGACCGAGGCCCACGAGGAGAGTGGCTTGGGGCAGGCAGAGCCCACAGCAGGACCTGCGAGCGGCTCTAGTGCAGCGCTGGGTACCGTGCTGTGACATCCCCCCATCCCTAAGCGTGACCCACGGGACTCACCGTCCTCCCGCGACTTCTGGATGAAGGCCTCCACACCGCTCTCGCCGTAGCTGCCCTCCGAGGCCAGCGTGGACACGTAGTTCCACTTGAGGGCACGGACGATGTCCACCATGGCCTGGGCCTGGTACGTGTCCGAGGGCACCACACGGGAGAAGAAGTCGTAGCGGCTGTTGTCGCTCAGGTCGGGGGCTGTGGAGGCGTAGCTGATCTGGGGGATCTGGAGGCGAGAGGGGCCGCTGATGGGGGCAGCTGGCACCCCACCCTGCCCAGCCAGCACCGTGCCCTGCACACCAACCCCCTTCCCATCCCCACAGCCTTGGGACCGTCCCAGCTCTTCCCACGGGCACCACCTCCTCCTGTCCTGGGGGAGACCCTGGGGCATGGACGGCATGGGTCCTCGCCCACTTATCAGAGGAGGAAACAGACCCAGAGAGGAGGGCCAAATGGTTAGTCGGCCCTGCCCCTGGCTCCAGCCTGGGGTCCCCGTGCCCCCCACCTCCACTCTGTTATCCCCTGATCCTGGCCCCCTGGGGCCCTCGCCCTGTCCAGCAGGAGTGAGGCTGGCATCAGGCTGAGAAGTGACTGGTTCTCCTCCTCCAGAAAGTCTGCCCGCCTCACCTGGGTCCCGCGGCTGGTGGTCCCCCAAAGACACATACGTACATGCCACGGACACATACTCACACCCCAGGAGCCTCTGGATGTCTCAATTTACCTAAAGAGCTGGAAGATGCCCCCCTAGGAAAAGCCCCCAGTGGGTGAGATGGTTTGGCCTGGAGATGGGATGGGGGTGGGTGTCTAGAGGGGCCCTGAGGGGTCAGCTCATTTGGCCCATCTCCTTCCCTTCCCCCAGGCAGCCCCTCACATTACTACCCCCCAGGACCTGTCTCCAAGCTCCCCCTGGGCTCAGGCTCTTTCCTCCTGCCTAGCTCAGAGGGAACAGAGCCCAGGTTCCAGCTCCACCCAACCCCAGCCCACCCACCCTACAGACGGAATCCCAGGAGGCCAGGGTGGGCGGGGCCTCCAGAAAGCCCCTTTTTCACAGCCTGGGACACAGGGCCCAGAGAGGCCTCAGCAGCAGACGGCAGGCCTCCTGACCCCAGCCCCAGCTCCCCCAGCACAGAGCTCCGTCCTGCCTCCTCGGCCCCCACCCGGCCCTCCCCAGGCACGGGCGAGATGTGGAGCCCTGACACTGCCCTTCCTCCTGTGGCTGACATCCACCCATCCCCAAGGGATGTGGAGGGGCTGCGTGGACCCGCCTGCACTCCCTCCTCCCTGGCCCACACTCACCGCACCCCCGGGGCTGGCCCCCAGGCTCCCCGCACTGCCCCAGGCTCCCCAGAGCTGCTCAGGCCCACACTCTCCATTCCCTGCCTCAGTCCACACCAACACGTGCCCTTCCTGTGTGCCCTCTGCCCTGCTCTCTGTTGTCCAGGGTGACAGGGTGAAGGCGTGGGCATACTGATCAGGGCCAATGTCAAATCTTAGACCTCGTCTCCCTAAGGAATCCCTGAGACTCAGGCCCAGACAAAAGACTCGTGGCCAGATGTCAGCCTCAGTGGCAGCTGAGGGTGGGAAATGGTCCAGGAGCAAGAGGATTCGGGGCGCCCCATGGACAAGTGGTTCCCCACCTGGTCTATGTGGAGGGTGTCCCTATCCCCAGGGACAGTGGGGGCCACCTTCCACTGAGGACGCACTAATCGGAAAGGGCATGGCCCAGCTCAGCCCCTGTGACGCCCCCCAGGTGGGCCCCAGCGGGCCCCTCACTGCCTCCCCTCACTGAACTCACTCATGGGAAAGGCCCACACCCCTGGGACCCTCGGGGGTGAGGATGGGGGCAGGGGAAACAGCTGACTGCTTTTCTGGATTTGCTGGGCAACTATGGGTTAACTCCCAAGCCCGCTCACTGTAGTTCCCGGGTCTTCATAAAATGGTTTATACTGTGTTATTCACCGTGGCACCATTCTAACCTGGTGAAAGACGCCACGGTCATACAAGGAATACTACACAGCTGTGAAAAAGAACAAGGCAGGCTTCCACGCACTGCTCTCGAGGGCTCTCCGAGACACTGTGGAGTCAAAACAACAGCCACAAAGAAGCAGGTGCAGATCCACGTGCGAGCAGCACCCTGCTTATCATACGAGGGGCCAGAACGTACTCACACGCTCTCAAACAAAGCAGCCCAGTCACCTCTGGGGAGGGGAGCGGGCGGCTGGGGGCAGGGCTGGGCGGGGACATTTCACATCACACCCTTCACACATTTTGCAGGTAGAACCAGGCAAACACAGCACCTGTTTAGAAAACAACCCCCACTTGAATCTTCATGAGCACACACGTCCCCTTTCTCCCCGTCAGCAGCGTCTGAACACGAGTCCAGTTCCCTCCGCCCTGGTGAGCACTTCGCCTGAAAACAGCTCCCTCGGAGATGTGGACTCCGGTGGATATTTGAGGACTGATTTTAAAAGTATTGTGATTTTTACAGTCTGATAATGGTTTTGTGGTTGGGGCTGGTTGGCCGGTGTTCAGAGTCCTTGTCTCAGAGTGGAGCTTCTCAGCATCAGCTGTCAACACTGGGGGGCTGTCCTGGGCATCGTAGGATGTTTAGCAGCATCTCTGTCCCCTAGATGCCGGTAGCAGACCCCTCTCCCAGTGGTGACAACGGAAAATGTCTCCAGACATTGCCAAATGTCCTGGGGTGGGGGCAAAACGGTCCCCAGTTGAGACCCACTATTTTAGAGAGATGTACTGAAATACTTAGGGATGAAGTGACATGATGACGTGTGGGATTTGCTTCCAAAGAATCACACTGGGAGCATGTGGAAGAAATGACATTGGCCAAGAGCATGACAATGTTGCGTGGCCCCAACGAGTACATGGGGGCTCGCCACCCCATTTGTTGTACTTTTGTACATGTCTGAAATGGCTGTTTTTTTTTTTAATTTTTTAACAATAAAACAAAATACATGCCACCCCCAGGTCACCCTCTGAACAGAAGTGCCCAGAGTCCGGGGCTGGAGCTGGAGGAGGTTGTGGAGGTTGCGGCGCCTGGACCGCCCGGCGTAGCCTGCTGCACAGCAGGTCCCGAGAGAAGATGGTTTTGTGGGTTCGCTCGCTGGCTTACCTCTCCGCCTGGTCCTCAGCACGGCGTGCTCACCACACACCCCAAAATCCACTCTCCTCCTAATTAGAAGAAGCTTGTCTCCTACTTCCAATGTTTTCTCCCAACACAGCACCCAGGGTCAAACGGTCCCACGCACAGCAGAGGGACAGGAGGCCAGGGAGGTCTCAGGGCTGGTGGCAGGACGAGCCGCTCACACAGGTGACTTCCCTCTATCATGCCTCATTCCTCCTTGCACGCCACCTCCCTACAGCCCCTCCTGCTCAGGCACTCAGCACAGGCAGGGAGAGAGGATGCACAGATGGACAGCGGGTATAGGACCCAGAGCCCTCCCCAGGGAGGCCAGCAGTGTTCAGACCCCAGGCCGCCGCCCCTGCCGCACTGCACACCCCCTCTGTTTCCCATAAAGGTAGGAGGGCCAAGCATGGGCTTCCTGTAGGGTATGCATGGCAGCCTGCAGGAGTGCCCGGGCCCTGATTTCAGGAGCCCAAGAGGGGCCCCTGCTTGGCCCCCAACAATTCCTGAGACCCTGGAACAGGGACTCAGCCCTGAGATGGGGGAGGTGAGGTCAAACAGGGTCAGGGGATAGGCCAGCATCCTCTCACATGACCCCTTTGCCAGCTCTCCTCCTACCCCGCCCCCTGCAGGTTCTGGCCTCCACTCCAGGCCCTCCCAAGTTTCCCAGGGGGATGGTTTCAAGCAGAGATTTGGGAGCTAAGCTGCTCAGGTTCAAATCCAAAGTCTGCCACCCACCAGCTGGGAAACGTTGGGCAAGTTTCTTCACCTCTCTGGGCCTGTTTCCTCAGCTGCAAAGTGGGAATGACCACAATCCCTTTCTCACGAGGGTTGCATGAGGGAATCCATGTGGGGCGTGCAGGGCAGCACCTGGGGGGCAGCAAGCACTCAGAAGCTTAGCCCTTCTGTGAGCTGTTACCCCTCCCTCTACACTTCCTCCCAGCAGCGCTCTCCTCTTGGCCCTCTCTCTGACTCCTTTGCCTCCTAGGACTGGCCCCTGTGCCTCCACTCCCCTCCCCAGCTTTCTCCCTGCCGTCCTGTAGTTGTGGCCATGCTTAGTGGGGACTCCTCCTGCTGGCAATGCTGATGGCTCCCGGCTCCCTCTCGGTCCCACCCCAGCCTGGAGTGGAGGTGGGGAGAGGCAGGGACCGCCCTGGGGACACCATAGGCAGGGTGACTGTGACAACTTGGCCCAAGTGGGGCTCCGATGTCTCCTCAGCTCTCGCTGTCTCTGCAACCCAGCTGGAGGGTGAGGGGACACCCCATTAACATTCTCCTCCCACAAGAGCAGCCGGAGAGCATGGGGAGGCCGCCATGCCCGCCCCACTGCCAGCTCCTCCATCTCTCCGCCTCCCTCTCTCCTCCCTCCTACTGTCACCCACAGAGCACCTACTGTGTGCTGGGCACTGTCCTAGGTGCTGGGGACATTCCCACCTCCTGTCATACCCTCAGGGGCAGGAGTCAGCCAGAACCCAGATTCCAGCAGCACCTGACCCACCACAGGGGTCCTATGCTAGGTCCATCTGTCTGTCCTCTCTTTCCTCTCTGTCTTCCTCTGCCCACAGAGCCCAGGACCTCATCTCCCTACATCCAAATCTTCCCTGTGTGGCAAAGCCCAGCTCTAACGTTGCCTCCTCCAGGCAGCCCTCCCTGGGCCCTTGTCCTCCAGAGAGCCTGTTCAGACCTCCCAGAGCTCCGAGTCAGGCTGCTCCAGGGTCCCCGGGCACGTCCTCGTGGGTGTTAGGAGACTTGGGCTACTTGTCAAGTCAACAGGCATTCTAAAACTCCCCCAGGTGCCGGGAAAGGCCACACGAGGAGATGAAAAGGGGAACTGGATTCATCCCACCCTGGGGAGGGGCCCTGAGTGACACACAGTGTGTCTGCAGCTGGCACCCAGTAGAGTCTTGCGCTCACAAAAGGCGTAAGTGACTGAAGGGGGCGGGAGTGTGTGAATAAACCTCTCTCCCTCTCTGGCTGCTGGGGTGACAAGGCGCTTCCTGCCACGTGGGGAAAGACAAAAGCTGCTTCTGAGCTTGAGCAGCACTGAAGATGAACGCCAAGTGCATCTGTGTGTGTGCATACACACA